GGTCACTTGGTTGTTTCTAGAGTTACCTCATAAAACCATTGCTTTATCAGAAGTGACCAGAAGGAAATGAGGGTTATTTACATATTTTGGCTTTTTTTCTTGGGGGATGCCTATACTATTTACCATGATTATAAGGTACAGATGCTTTGAGGTACAGTGAATTTCATTGTCAATTTTAGTTAACATGATTTTTTTAATTGGGAAGAATTCATTTATATAGTATCAAAGTGCATAATGTTTTCAAGACAATTAACTTTGCATTTTAAAACATTTAAAACATTTTGTTAAATATCAGATTTTGATATGAAGGACAGATTGACAAAGCAAAGAACAAAGCAGATAGTAATTTTGATTTTTTCCCTTCTCTCTAAATCTAAACTCCTCCACTTCTCTAAAGACACCTTTGTTACCTGCGCTGTGTACTTTTCAGTCTGTTACAGCATCTAACTGATTTTCAGTCTTTAAAATAAAAATAATTTGGGTGTCTAATTTATATTTAGGTATCCAAATAATTGAGATCGTCATCACTTTGATAATTTTTTCCAAGTAAACTATTCAAGAAGAGGTAGGCATTAGTCTCCCATTATTCCTGTGTGTGCCATGCTATGGTTATTCATCCAAGGGAGTCTTCTTGAGTCAAAATCCTCTGGACCCTGCACCATTTGGAAGCAACAAGAAATAGATGATCTTATCAGAAGCCTGTCAGGGGCATACTGGGACTGCTTCTGAAAATGGCAGATGATAATTTATTTGTGAAATATTAATTGATCCTGCCTATTAAACTGAAGTTTAACTAGCTTTTTAAAAGTACAAAGTGATTATAAGCTTGATCCTAAATTGGTTTAAAAATATATCCATTTAAAAGAAAAATTGATTATTTTAAAATTCTTATGTTTAGATGGAGAGCAAAATGTTTTAAAGCACTTTACATCAATCAGTGTACTGAGTCACTGTATTTTTAATTTTTCCTTTTTGGTATCAGGTAGTGGGTAAGAGTTCAGCTTTGGAGCTGAACTCTGACTTTGCCATTTACTAATTATATAATCTATGGCAAGTCAATGAATGTCTTTAATCTTCCATTTTTCTTTTTAAAATAAGGATAATAATAACTCTCAGCATTGTGGTGAAGATCAGAAGCACTTTGTGTGTAAAGCACTTCACACAGAGTAAAGCAAGTGCTCAATGCATTTTGATGATGGCTGTTGTTATTGTAGATATTTTCTTTTTAAAAAAACTGTTATTGCATTGTATCAGGAAGTGATTGCTTAGGTGTTTAAATAGTGCCAAGTACATTGTTTAGTGTTTTAGGGCAAATGTACTTCTGCTCCTTTATGATTTTTTTGCAATAATATTGCATTTTAAAATTCCCAGACTTCCTAAAGAATGCACCATTTCCCAAATTTTTGTTTTATGGCACAATGTGTTAAACAATCGACGTAGAAATGAACTCGGGAACAACACTGTTGTAAATCAGGTCAACTCTGTATAGTTTATTGTTTGCTTATTTTTCCATCAGTCAAACCATTAGTCCTTTCATTAGTCATTACTAAGGAATCCCTTGAGAGCTACTTCTTAATGTTAATCTTCTCCTGACAAGACTCTAACTCCTCGGGTTCTTAGGTGTTCTAAAATCCCCTCTTCCTAAACTGCAGTGACTTCCCTAAGTCACTGATAATTGGGACAATTATATTTTCACTCAGTTTCTGCTGTTGATAATAGCCTCCTATGAACATTAGTGTGACAAATTGTGAGATATTTCCAACAACTTACTCTCATACTGTTCTATTTAAAGATATTTTTGTAATTTTTTATTTATGACTTTTTAAGGCACATGATTTGATAAGACACTGGCCTGTTCTAATAACTGTTTATGTTTAGTATCATATACTATGGGGTAACTGCATTTACTAAAAGACAGTACCTTTTGTGGAATATAAAATGGTTGTGTATATGAGTGATGTTGTATTTTGTTCTGAACCCTTTTGTTTAAGCCTCAGCATGCACAGCAGGTCCCTCTGAATTCCCTGATAACAGCTGTTACCATGGTTGCATCTTATTTCATATTTTATTTGTTGAACTGATGCCTGATAAAAGAAATGGCACTGAATTGTCTGCAATGTTGAATCTAAATAGAAATGTTTTCTCTTTTTTTCCCCTTATGGTGATGAAATTAGGAAACTGGAGTTAAAAATCGAAACCTTGTATTCCTAAACTTAGGGTTGTGCAATGCTCATGTGCACTGCGTGGGGAACTGTGGACTTTGGAACCCTTACCCTGCCACCAACTGAAAAGCTCTAGGCCTGCCTCCAAGGACAAGGATCAGAAGATGGATTAACTCAAATAATGAAGTGTCAAGTCAGCTTCTTTAAAAAATAGTTTTTTTCTTTTAGGCTAGCCAATAGACTGTGAATGAAGCCTCGGCTTTTCATTATGGCTTTTACGGTGGGCTCATATCTTATGCTTTAGAGATTCTCATTGAACAACAATATACAAGTGTGTTTTAAAAACACATTGATCCAAACAAAGTGAAAAATATCTTTTGAAATGTAATTTTTTCCTGAAGCAAAAACAGAAAGATGCGATCTACAAAGAGAATAGCCTGACTTTGCCTGCTGACTCCTCATGTGACCTTGGACACCCCTTTTTCCTTCAATTTCCTCAGCCATAAAATGGGAATATAAATAGTACCTTTAATTATTGGGTTGCTGTAAGAATTCATTGAATAATATATTGAAATCTCTAGAACAGCTTTTTAAATGTAATGAACATTATATGGCTATTTTAATAAGAATATCTTTTTTTTGCATTAGTGGTGAATAAAAGTCCCAGAACTATTATTTTTGAAAGACAAGATTGAAGCTGTTTAATTTATCTACAAGGCACAGCATCTTAAACTTTCCTTGATTCTGTTTAGTCTCAAAAAAACAAATGAGTAAGGTAACTGGAACTAAGAAAATTCAGTTCATTATTCAGAGCATCAGAGTTCTGTTGTCTGAGAAAACTTACTAAATTCTGTAAGAATGGTTTTAAAGATGCAGGATTTTAAGACCTCTGAGATAAAATAAAAAACCTACATCCAGGACGGACTTGTACATTGTCCAAACATATTTGGTATATATATACCACATCTTCTTTATCCACTTGTCTATTGATGGGCACTTAGGTTGCTTCTATATTTTGGCTATTGTGAATAGAACTGCAGTGAACATAGGAGTGCATATATCTTTTTGAATTAGTATTTTGAATTTCTTCAGATAAATACTCAGAAGGGGAATTGTTGGATATATGGTAGTTCCATTTTTAACTTTTTGAGGAAACTTCACACTGTTTTTCACAGTGGCTGCACCAATCTGCATTCCCACCAACAGTGCACGGCGGTTCCCTTTTCTCCCCATCTTCACCAACAGTTGTAATTTAAACACAAATAAAATAATAAATGAATGAATGAATGAATGAATGAATAAATAAATGATAAAAACTTCATTGGGTAACGTTTATTGTAAGTAAATTTATCTTAATGAAGCTATTTTTTTAAAAATATATCTTTATTGATTTCAGAGAGAGGGAAGGGGAGGGAGAGAGAGAGAGAAACATCAATGATGAGAGAGTCATTGATCGAGCCCACAACCCGGGCATGTGCCCTGACCGGGAATCGAACCCCGATCACCTGGATCCCAGGTCGACTCTCAACTGCTGAGCCACCCCCGGCTGCGCATTAATAAAGCTATTTTTTTAAAAAAAATATCTTTATTGTTAAAAGTATTACAGATGTCCTCCTTTCCCCCCCGTTGATCCCCTCAGGCCTTCCCTATACTGTTGTCTGTGTCCATGGGTCATGTATTCGTGCATATAAGTTCTTAGGTGAATTTCTCTCCACCCGCTCCCCTATGTTTGCCTTCCCTTTGAGATTCATCAGTTTGTTCCATGTTTGTATGTCTCTGGATCTATTTTGCTCACCAGTTTATTTTGTTCATTAGATTCCATATATGAGTGAGATCATGGGATATTTATCTTTCTCTGACTGGCTTATTTCGAATAACGCTGTTTTTTAAAGCTAAATTTATGATGGTGAGAATGTAGTGGGCATTCATTAAATAATTTTTGCCTACATTAATAATTAAATGGATGAATGAATGGAGTCATTTAATTCTTCGGAGATGGATTACATGGGTAATTAATTAGGGTTCATAAGGGGGTCAAATTTTACATCCTTGGTTTTAAAACTTTACATCAACCTCTACAAGTCTAATTTCACTGTAAATCCAAGGTCTTCTCACATGATTTGAAGGTCCACTCTCCCCCCAACTTACCGATTTTTCATATTTACTTTGGAAATAAAGTCAGTGGTTATACATTTGGTTCTGACTCTGCTGGGGCTTATACATTTCTCTTAAGTGGGACCTTGTGTGTGTGTGTGTGTGTGTGTGTTTTAATCCTCACCCTAGGATATGTTTTTCATTGATTCTAGAGAAAAGAAGGGAGAGGGAGAGAGAGAAAAAAAAAACATCACTGTGAGAGAAACATCGATTGGTTGCCTCACATTTTCACTGGAAATTGAACTTGCAACCTGGGTATGTGCCTTGACCGGGAATTGAACCTGCAACCCTTCAGTGCATGGAACAAAAGTTTAACCAACCAAGCCACACTGGCCAGGGCCAGGGGCCTTGTGCCTTGTGTTTTTATCTGTGTTGTCTGATGTATAATCACACAATTTATTCCTTAAAGATAGACATTTTGATATAGTAACCATAAGCTATTTTTAAGATCTGAGACATTTACCAAAAGTAAAATCCCTTTTGTTTTTTTCTACAAATAGTAGTTGGTTTTCTGACTTGGAATTTGGGTCTCTGTTGAGAAACCTTAGCCACCTGTAAGTTAAATGTAACTGCAGACTGTGTGTGAGCCCTCATGGGCTTTTCTCCCTGGCTGTTAGCATGAAGAGCTTATCTGGAGTCCCTATAAGGTGTTTGATTCTGATTTCTTATTGTATTTTCTCCCAGGTATGGCAGCAGCCAAACTTCTGCATGACACTGGCCTGAATGTGGTTGTTCTGGAAGCCCGGGACCGTGTGGGAGGCAGGACTTACACCACTAGGGTAAGACATTAAGGATGGAGTGGAAAAACGTGGGATCAAAGCTGAGTTTTTTCTTCTTTTTTTTTTCCTTGCTGAATATCTTGAATTTCATTTGACTCTTTTTAAGAGAGTGAAAATTACTCTAAAAATTTTCCACAGCCTCTCTACAAATTTGTTTCTTTTTCAACTCTTTCTTCGGTATCTTTTCTTTTCTCACCTCATGACACTTGGCACTTGCCCAGTAAAGTATTGCACCAATGAATAGGTATTTGGAATACATCAGTGAATAAAACAAAGATTCCTGCCTTTGTGAAATGTGTAGTTTTTTAGGGGGAGGGGAGACAGACAATAAAAAAATGAAAAAACAAACAAAAACAGAAAAAGAAGGCCTTTTCTGGTGTCCCTGACTAATAGGTACCCAGCTATGCTTGGACAAGCTCAAATACAGAGAACTTTTCTACTTACTTCTTGTTCAAAGTTTTATCCTTTGTCATTGGATGTGAAGCTGATTCAAAACCATATAGAAAACTTGTTATTGAACATAAGAACAATTTCAAAGGTTCAAATTATGACCAAACATTCCCTGATGCTGTTTCAAACACTTGGATTGGCAAACAACATAAGTGATTATTTCCTTTCTTATTTTTCCTCCTGCATTAGGTGCCTCAAAGTTAGCCTCAAGTACTAAGTATAGAGAATTCACCAGCCATTCAGAGATTATAAACTCAAGTCACTGAAAACCAAACCACGTTGTGGTACATTGTAAATGATGAGGTTCAGGCGTCTCTTGCCTATACAAAGTTCAATAAGTTTTGCTTAAATTAAGAAATGATCTAATAACCTTTAAATTACAAGAATGGAGTTGAGAACAGAACCCAATTTTTCATGGTCCCACAAGATGTGTCTATAACCTATGAAATGCTAATTTGCTTATTTCAGGGCTCTCTATCTTAGTAATAACATTTTCACAATTATTTTTTAAATTTTTTTCCATGGAAAAACAGAACCAAATGGTTAAATATGTGGACCTTGGAGGATCTTATGTTGGACCAACCCAGAATCGCATCTTAAGATTAGCCAAAGAGCTAGGATTGGAGACCTATAAAGTGAATGAAGTGGAGTGTCTGATCCACCACTCAAAGGTAAGCCTGGGCCAGCCTTTGAAGGATTTGAAGGCTACTCTATGGGCATTTCCATATATAAATTCTAGATCATTCTCTCAGAGAAACTTTTTCATCTCTGAATGTATGCAGAAGTATGTAGCTTATTAATGTATTTTAACCACTCTGAGAATGTTTCACTGTTATCAAAGTGGAATTAAGTGAGAATTCTTAACCTATGTGGGAAGATAATTGACCAAGTAGTATTGCCCATTTGGTAAAAAGTTTAACAAAACTAATAGAGAAAAGGCATTTGTGATTAATTTGTTAAATACCTTGGGCTCTTTTATGTGATACAAAAACTTGTGTACAGTTTTACAAATGCTGCCCTAGGCTTCACATTATAAAAGTATTTGCAATCTGTAGTATTTTGAAGTTTTAATACTGTGTCTGATTTAACAGCTAAAGTTAGTCTTCTTTGGAAGTTTACATAAAAGTGGCTCAAGTCCCAAATTCCATTTCTTTTTGTGGGGAAACTCCATTGATCTTCTCAAGATTTCTCTGAGTTTACTGGGTCTCACATTCTCATGATCATTTGTGGCTTATTCTTGCCTCCATGACACCTATGTTTATCCACGTCTCATGGCTTGTGACTCTTTTTTCCTTTTGCTCTATACCAACCTGGGCTGAAACTCACCTCTGTTTTGATTTCCCTCAGACTACCTCAAGCATTTGTATGCAGCAGACTTGACTGAAATTTTGAACAATGGCAGGGGGTGGAGTTGGAATGGGGTTAATTGCAGAAACACTAGCAGGTTAGAATTGAAAATTAGACATTCTAATTCTAATAAGCTCTTAGACTTATGCATCCCTGGGGATTTTTCACTGGCCACATTCCTCTGTGGATTCTAGTCTCCCACCATGCTGTGGGTCATCAGACTTTTCATATCTCTTTGATCCTTGTTTTCCAGCATCATTGCTTTGGTACAAAAAGTCACTGATGGTTTCTAACAAGCTGAGATTCACTTACTCTGGCACCTTCTCATGGTGTCCCACAGAAGAACTGGCAGGGGTTTTGAATTTTAGTCTTTCCCTCTCTTCTTCACTTGCCTCTGCAGGTGGAAGTAAGCAGTATAAGTATATCCTCACCCATAGAAATCATCCCCTTAGGAGACAGAAAAAAACTAGCAAGTCAGTTTGATCTATATAGCAATGTTGATATATTGACATACTTATATTATTTGAGAGTGATAATATCAAGAAGGATGGATAACATACCATGCATTATGAATCATTTAATAAAACTGGAAAGAAAAATCTATCTAATTTGGCACAATGAGGGTAAAAGATTTCCTTAATTCATACATAAATGTTTTGGTTGAACTTCAGATTTTGTTTTATAAGCCTTTTCACTTTGCTTCCATATGTGTCTAGTAGAAAAAGAGACACATCATTTAAAAATGAAAATGTAGCACGGTGACAGTGAAATTTGTTGGACATCAACCAGCAGCACTTAGTAAACATCCTTCATAGGGTTCTTTGCTTTTAAATGTAGGTCACATTGATTGATTTCTTCTGTCTTCCTTGTCTTAACACATAAGACTTACAGAGACTTACTTCTCAGAACACTGGAGTCTCTTTTAGTTTTCTCCAGACAAAAGAGATGACTAGAAATTATATTCACTTTTCTGTTTTTGTTTGTGCAAGGTTGCTTAGCAATCAAGAGTTCTGCTCAGAATGTTTGTTTTTCTGGTAATCTTATGGCTGATATTAAGTTCCTTGTTTGAAAGAGATTGCTTACAGTCATTAATTGTGGAAATGATCTTACACAACACTTTTACAGAGTGTTGGCCAAATGTGCTGCTTTCTTAGACTATTTAGAACAGTCAATTAAGCAATATCTCTGACTTGATGCGGGGTAAATACATATGCTAACAGTGTTCTTTATAAAACTTAAAATGAATGTTATTGCTTTTTAATTATTACAAAAGTAAAGCATATTTATTGTAAAAATGTTATTAGAAAATGTGAGTAAACAAAAACTCTCCATAATCCTATCTAGGGAAAATTACTCTAAAATATTTGCTTGGTTCATAGATGTTTCATATTCCTGTATTGCTATTTTCTGACCTCTGCTGGAAGAAATGAGGAATATCAATGCACTTAAAAATAAAGTCCATAATCCATAGACACAGACAATAGTGTGGTGATGGCCAGAGGAAAGGGGGGCAGGGGCTGGGTGGAGGTAGGCAAAGGTGAGGGAGAGGGATAGGGACATAGACAATAATATCAACAATAAAAAGAAATTTAAAAATATATTGTATACTTAATGAATTCTCACTAATGAGATAATTAAAACATTAATGAAAATATGAAACAAATATTTTTCTTTCAGTCTTGATAGATGTGCTAATTTGACCTTTTCATGGTCATATCCAGTGAAGAGCTACATGATAATAAGTAATAATAATGTCCGTATAGCTAATAATAATGTCCGTGTCCCAAAATCAAATACTTGTTCTCCACCATCATCACTTCCATGTCTTTCTTTGCTCACATGTATTGTTCTCATTTTTAGTCTGGAAAATCATCTCAAATGGCTGCATCCATTTATTGACCAGAACTATGACATTCTATCTACTACTACATGCCAAAGAATGTAGTTCAGAAATTTGTTTCCTGTGTCATGTAGGCAGTACTTTTGACATTTGGACATTACTGTCTATTATATGTTTTAATAACTACCATTCCCAAGTGCAAATTATGGCTTATGAAAATATGTATTATATTTGTGCCTTATTTTTTCAGTCAACTTATATGTATTTCTTAACCCAGAGCCTGGGAGTATTTTAGATTTTTTACATGGTCCTTAATGGAAGGAGTTTTATGTGCAGCCTTAATAACATTAGGATAAAGAACTTGGGTATGCTGGTCAGAACTGAAACTAATGAAATGGAGCTTCCCATAAAATGGAGAGAGTACAGCAAGCAGCTTATGACTGGCTAGCTACCCACAGAAAGGGTGCCTTTCTCAAGAAATGATGACTCTGGTATTTTCAGTTCCCTGGTATTTGTAAGAGAAATGGTCTGCTACTAGGGTGTGTTCGTGCCAGCTCCATGATGGGAACCTCCTGGTGTGCTGTTCTGTGTACTCTTTACTGTCTGCCTCCTATCTGTTGGAAATGTTTATATCTGAGTGACATTCATTTTTAATGCTACCATAGATCTGTCTTATGTTGCTAAAATGTGGTTTTGCAAAGCCTTGTTGGTGAATAAAAGATGTAATAGCTATATTGAGATTTAATTATCACGAGGAAAAATTATCACTTCAACTAATACCTGTATAATTTAGTAGGTGTTTTCCTCATGTCTAAAATAGTGATGCAGCCGTTAGTGTTTAACAGTTATTGTTAAGCATCTACTGAAGTTTTAAATCTGTTTTACAAATAGCCATGCTAATTTCTGCTAGTATAGTTTAGAAGGCAGCTATTTAAATACATTGGAAGTGACTTGTAAAAATTATTTCTGTTTGGACAGTATCTCATAATAAGAAAAAGACAAAAAACAAATTCTTAAAAAGCATTGCTTTATGTGAACTTATACCTCTTCCTCTTTCATCTACTGTGTGAGTGTGTGCACACATGTATGTGGTTGTTTTGTTGTTTGTTTTTTGCTCTTTTGGGTTTTTACTTTAAAAAGCTTGGAGAAAATTTTGAAGTTTGGTGCAATTTAGACTATTGGCAAATAAAGTTTCTCTGTCTCAGCAGCGTTTTTCAGTCTGAAATTTCAACTAAAATCTAATCAAAATATGCAGGAAACTGCTTTAGGCCTGAAGGTTGAATTATTAAGAGTTAGGTTATGCAAAGATGTAGCATGACTTAATATTAAGAGTTCAACTTCATACTGATAGTAATTTCTAAACTTCAGCTATCTGTACAAACTGAGAAAAAGATGTTCTGGTCTTAGTATGCTTCCCAGTGGACAGAAACAGAGCTCATTGTCAAAATCCCTTTTGTGTTCTATGTGCTCAGTCTCAATGCGTGAAAAAGCATCTGAATGAAAAGACATCTCTCAAATATATTGTCTACTGTTGCTGCTCTGAGTGCTATTGCTCAAACAACCTTATGGAGGAAGCAGCATTTGACACATTCCTTCAGTTTGTTGAGAACTCTGAAATCCTGTTGATAATGCAAGTACACAAAAAGCACATAAATGCAAAGAATAGTGGGAAAAGATCTCTGTTGACAAGACTGGTTCAGTGAATTTCTTGGAAAAGATCACAGGTGCTAAATTATCTCTTGGCATTGAGGAACAGCAACACAATTGGAGCCCAACTATTGAGAAATAAAATATTCAAATTATCATTACATTTGGCAAACAGATACTGTCTTGCCATGCATAACTTCAACATGTCCCAGAAATCAGCAGACCGGAATGTACAGTATTTTTCAGGTTCTTAATATCTCCTTCTCCAATCTTATTAATCCAGGGAAGCCTGGGTCAAAAAGTCTAGGGTGCACTTGCTTCCCTCATGATGACAGAAGTTTCCAGGAACAGGTTAGACAAATGCTTGTATTTCACCCAGGAACAGCTGCCCATTTTACATTAACTCCCCACATGCCACACAGAGCTCACTGGCTCCAAGAGTCTGTCCTAGCTGAGATGAGCTTCATGAAACTTCTTTTCCACTCCCAACGATTTAATTTCTTATTTGTTGGAAGTAAATATGTCTTATTATCATGGGAGATTTCTTCAAAAAAATGTGGAGAACAATAATTTCCTCTTTAGCAAGTGAAATCCACTTGTCTAATTATTATTCTGAAGCTTACGATGTTATTCTGGAAACCAAAGTATTCATTGTGTTCTTTAGAAAATACAGGCAGATTTTTGGCATGTAATAATTTGCTGAAAATTATGCCTTCAATGACTGGATTTGTAGCAATATTTGGGGATATGAGATTAATTTATTTTAGGCCTCCAAAGTTTCCATTTGAAACTTAAAACATGATAAAATCAGTAAACATATTCTCTATATAAAAACGC